CTGACCATCCCTGACTAAGGCCTCACTGTGATCCATAAAAGCTTTACTCCCGTATTTTTGTTTAGTTTCACTGGTGTCTTTGTTTTCCTGAGTCTTCCTTCCCCCACAAGGATGGTTTTAGCTATTTGCTGAGCAAAGTTGATAAATAGATAACATCTTGCCTGACGTCAAGGAGACAAAGCTCCAGATATCAAGGAGCCATTAAGGAGACATCAAGGAGACAAAACTATCTACACATGCCAGAGGTTAAGGAGACGCCCAGCAAACATCTACAGACTGCTTGGTACAAGAGGTTGCATCACAAAAGGGGCCCTGGCTTGTGCTGAAGAAGGAGGATTCAACTAGCAAGGGGGTTTGGAAGCTCTGAAATTTTGTATCACCAGCACCTCAACGTCTTTCTTGTAATGAAAACTGTAATTTCAACAATTTGTCTTTTTTTGTAATGAATTGAACAGGTACAGTCCTGCCCTGTTGCTGTTTTACATCATTGCTCCTGCCTCTGGTAACCTCCACCTCTGAGGTGGTTTTTGTGCCATCGGTAGCTGGTTCTGTAAGTAGCCAATGGTTCCTTCAAAAGGGAAACCCTTCCCAACACAATTAGTCCTGAACATAAGGCTGTTATCACGGGGTGTGATGCTAAATACACAGCCCAGCTCTTAGAGGTACCGGTAACCCAGCTGCACAAGCAAATGGCACGTATGCAAACAGCCCAAGTGCGAAGGTGGGGTGTAACCACTTCATCCACATTGCCACGTAAAAGCAAAAATCTTGGCATAGGGTTTGGCCTCATGTTCATACGGTGTTTGATCAGACCACTACAGCAATAAAAATGGTGCAGAGTCAACAGCTAGAGTGGCTGTAAAAGAGGTAGGGCTGTGTGCATAAAAAAGGAGCTGAAAAACAGTCCTCATGCAGAATACAAGTATCACTACATCTATCTATGTACAAATACATCTATTCACAACTTTTTAAATAATTTCTGTTTCAAATACAACAAAAGAAAGCACTACTATGATCTAAAAACATTCCTGAGGCTAGAGAATGACTGTGGCAAACAGGGTCTTCTAGACCATTTCAATTAAAACTACCGCAGTCCGGTTCACTGAAAAGCAAAAGTAACGACAGTCTGCAAAACCCCCAAAATAATGTGTTTCAGCGAGCGTGTTCTAATCATCAGAAAACTGCACAAGGAAGATAATCCCCTCTCTCACGTCTTAGGCAGTTTAATGAAAGAGAATTGGTTCCCATTGAAGGCAGATTTAGTTAATCTAAGTGTAAATTAAATTTCTCTTCTACCTTTACCTCTGAAAAGACTGTTCTTTCAGCAGCGATGTTCTGCATTGTACAGAAATCAGGAAGGAATGACTCCAAGGACTGAACCTTAGCAGCTCCCAGAATGCTGGAGCGTGATTGCAGCATTTGAGTAATAACAGCATATTGTGTTACTGTCATTAGATCAGCTCTGTGGGCAGGATTTAACTGTGTTCTATGAACACATCTGAATAAAGATAATTTTGCACAGAATTCATTGCTTGTTTAAACATCTTTAGAGGATGATCATGTCCCGTTTAATCTGCCAGAATTGCCTTTGCATGCCGAATCAGGCCCACCAAAATAACTGGCAACATAAAACCATCTCAACTTTTGTGTAAGAATTCTTTTGCACATACTTGCAGTATTTTAAAGGTGTAATTCAATTAAGTTTAAGTCCTTGGCACCCAGCTACCCGTGCAAACCAGCACATGGAAGGTACCACATTTTGACCTCCCCATAATGAAAAAATACTTCAAACTGGTCGATTTGAAATTTTTTCCAAATATTTTCAAATATTAGTTGATTTCTTGATTCTTCCTCAATAGTATTTAAATAAACCCAGAGAACTTTAATCCTGAAGATCCTGGACTCGATTTGCAGGTACTTTGGTCCCTAAAGGTGCCTACTCTGCAATTTCCTGGAAGTCTTCAGTGTAAACTAAGCTGCTACTTGGTCTAGTAAATTCTGGTAGATGCCCACCTGCCGTCATTAGGTGCCAAAGCCCTTTTGTAAATCTTGCTTTTAACTGAGTAACAAATGTATGGAAGTTTTCTCAGTTAAATTAAATTTACTTGATCTATATTGGTCTCTGACATGAGGATTTCCATCATTTCTGCCTAGTTATTTTTCTTAAGCAAGGCTTTGTGCACTTTGCATCCCAGCAGATGATCTCCTGCACCCCTGCCCAGGCTCAGGCAGTTCATTTACTTTTTGACTTTTTTTTTTTTGCTTAAATATTCACTACACAATAGGATTACTGACCTATTCTTGGAAAATTTTGCAACACCAATCTGCCAGGACTTCCAGTGAAGTGCCTCATTCAGGAAAGCTTTGTGATGAAGCTTAGTCACATTAGCGTTTAACTGCGGCTAATAAAAGTACTGAAACACCATTCCAGAAAGCACAAATGGGGTAATTTTACTTGCATTATCTGCCTGTTTTGCTTTTTGCAGTCTTTTTAGTAGGCCTGGTGTTTAAATACGGTGCTGGCATACAGCTAGAAGCCTAGTTCAGCCTGCAGCCTAATTTACTGTGCAGTTTATTTTCCCTGTTACTGTCTGATGCACTTCCTTGTATAATATCCTAAATAACTCAGAGTAATTACTGCTGCACACTTTATAAATTGACTGCATCCGTTTACAAATCAAAGGAGCCCCAGTACAGCTCTTGCTCCGCTTTTCATCGTGTTCACAGCTGTTGGAGGTGAACATACTACTCCAAAACTCGGGCCCGTTTATGAGATGCCTGACGTTTTACAACAGTGGCCAAGGCTACCTGCCCTGGGACGGGAAGCACAGCGGAAGGGACAATCTCTTCAGCCACGCTTCCAACATAAGAACACACACTGACGTTCAGCTGCACGCCCGCAGCGCATCTTCCTTCCTGCAGACATCTGAAAGGCACAGTGCACGGCCTCCGTCCTGGAGTGACTCTCGCAGGCAGTTTCCTCCTTTCTCATTGCAAGGTGATTTCCGACACTCCGATGTTCCCAGCTTTCAGATCGAGAGCATGAACTTTGGCGCCAGTGGTAGCAGAGGAATTTATTGTTTGGGGCGAAGCGGGGGTTGATCTGTTTAGAAAACCCAATCCACCGCAGCAAAGATTACATCCACCCTTCACCAGGTGAAGTTGCGATGGATGGAAATGATTCGTTCCAACAATACGAGCAAAATATCCAAAGGTAACGGAGGACAAAAATGTTTGGAAGCTAGCGCAGCCTCCTTCCCTCGCTCCCACTATCCAATCTCTTCCTCCTCTACTACACGATTCAGACAACAACATCTGTGAGAAGTCACAGGAGTGCACAGTTCGTATTGTTATCTTTTATTGTACGAATTATACCACGTGTGCACACTCAGAATAATAAAACCAGGTTTTAGTATCAAAAAAGGTAGGTACTTCACCGGTCAGGGAGAAAGCTCTATCTATGACACACGGATCAGATGGGGGATTATGTTCCAAGGATGATGCAAATGCTGATTAAACAGCAATACCAAATTCACTTCCTAATAGACTAGCTCATTAAGGGAGAGCAAGCAGCGTTAGGCAACACCTTACAAGGAGTTTTCTGTGATTCAACTCATTACAGAAGTAATGGTCGTAGCAACAAGGGGCCCGATATCCAGCTGTGAACGCTGCAGATTCACACAAGACCTGACAGAACTGGGTAGTGGTAGGAAACAATATGCCTCACCAGAGGCATCTGGTGGGCAACAAGCAAGTCTTTGGAACCACTGGTCATCTGACAGGCGAGAACACGGTCACAAGAACAAGCCTGGACCTCAGTGACGGTTCGAGGACTGCACATATAAAAAGGTACGCCTTTTCAGGCATACCTTAGGTGGGACTTTTGGGAAAATGATAAATCCTGAATAGCAATCTGAAATTGCTCGGAGGTTTTCGGTCTGAATCTTCTAAAGAGCGCTCTGGTTTGGCAGAGAGGACAAAGCAGGAATTAGCACTTCTGTTCCTCCCAGAGCACAGGGATGTCCCAGACACTTCACAACCGCAGCATCGCGTTGGGATGCAAGTCCGCACCAGAGCGAGTCTAACCAGGAGGAGGCACAGCTGGACTTGCCGAGTCCCCTTTCTTCACCATGAAGTCAGTAGTGCCATGACCTCCTTCCGCCTGTGGCTGCTCTACAGGTTTTCAAGGATTTCGTTACCACTTTAGATATTTACAGCTCGGAAGCCGAAGAACAATTGTGTGGGGCAAATTATTTTTAAACAAAATCCTGGTTTATTGTAATTCAAAATTCCACAAGCACGTTAAAGAGATTTTATTTGGATTTTTTTTTTTTTTTTTAAGACAGAACTACACCATTTTCAAACACTGCAACAGAACGTAAAGCAGCAATTCTCTTGCATCATGCCCCTGCTGCTCCTTTTCAGGAAAGAAAGGCACAACGTTTCAAGGAAAATCATTAACGGAAGTATCAAATCAAGATTTTCCGCTTTTAGTAAGCTAAGTAAATTTTGCATATAGCATAACTCCTTTAGCTTATCCCCAGATTTGACATGAAAAACCTAAAACCTAAACTCTGTGTAATTGAACCACGACGCTTACGTTGCCACCATGCATTCACAGTTCTTTAGCAAGGTCGAGAACAGCTGCAGTTTTAAGGTAAAAGCCTGAAATATTGCTCTAGCAGTTAAGGAAACTAAGATGCTAAGATAACATTTACCTTCCAAAGCTAGATTTATTCCTAAGTTGTTTAACCTAAACTCTAGTCACGCCAAATAGGTTATAGATGAAAGGTAGTTCCAGTAAGGAAAACAAAGAACTGCAGTTTTCATACATGTTAAATCAAGAAATGTGCTAGCTACCATTTTAGTGGCAAAAGCGACCCTCCCTTGTAACTGATAAGGGTTTATTCAGCTAAAACGTGCAAAGAAAAAAAGTCTCAAAGTGCGAGAAATATCACCAGTTCATGTTGGACACAAGGGAACAAAATCCTTATGAATTCCTTTACTCTGTTTTCTTGTCAGAAACGTCTGTGGATCTCTCTGCAGCAATTCCTTTTACAACGCCGTTGCTCTCAAACTGCAAATAAAAGACAGCATCATTAATGGGATGGCAGAAAAGGACTCCACACCCAGAACAGTGATGAAAATGGCTTTTAGCAGCAAGGCCAGCCAAGGTCTATGAAGAAATCTGCAGCGAGAACCATAATGGTGATGTCTCTCCAGGTTTACATATAATTATTGCTTCAGGGGGAGAGCGGGGAAGGAGGGCAGAGACAACATATACAGATCTTTGCATTTTGTTAGAAGAGATAAATAACAAATACACTAAACATCTTCCCCCATTATGAGTGTCAGAGCTGGAGTAGGGATTTTTTAACTCTGCTTCATGCAGCTGGTGTAACATACCAATTACTGGACTTCTTCCTTCTCTGAAAGAATAGCCAATCATTTAAAAGAAAATAATTAACTAAGCTGTTTCAGAAAACAGGTGCAATTCCTGTCCTTGCAAGACTCACCAGAAGCTGACTTGAAGCAGCTATTTGTAGCTGGCTCAGTGCCAGTAAGTCCCTTTCCTAACAAAACAGCCCCAAAAAAGGTCTGTAAAAACACCCAACTAGTTACTTTTTTGTGGTGCCCACCCTGAACTATCGCTGGGTGCTTTGTCTGGAGTTTCCCTGGCTAGCTAAATGCATTAATCTTACGTTGTAAATTCCAGATTCATCCTCCTGTTCTCTTGTTGCGGCTGAACGTGCCCGTGGATTTCGAGTGATGCCTCCTTCACCTTGCTTTGTGGCTGTTGTTTCTTGCACAGCTTTCTTGGGCCATACACGCTTAATGAAAGGTGCGATAACGGGATAGATATAGGGTTCAAGGAATTTCTTGTAGACCCAGAGGAGAACTGGAATGACGATACAAGGAATGCACACCATGGCTTCCTCTTGTTCTGTGGCAAAGCTGGTCAGGAGAAGAAAAAACCCAACAACTTAGGATGACAGTGTTTGTATGCCATGAGCTAAGAAAACAGTGTTAAATAATGAATAAAGATTGTAGCTGGTATTCAAACAGATTCTTTAATTACAGATTAATCGTTAAAAGTTTCAAAAACGCTGTGTGTTGCAATGTTACAAAGTCTTCAACCAGAAGGGAAACATTCTGGTCATTTTAAAGAAAAAGGAGCACAATTTGCTATGACTTCATCAGTTCTACAGCTGGAACTTTGAAAGCCAAATTCAGAAAATAAAATTTTTTGCTTAAGCCACACACAAACAGCTTAAGCAGTGAGCTACAGATATTAGCCCAGTTCTTACCGTGTTACAACAGAGAGCCCAAAAGGTTTGTTTCTCTCATTCCTTTTTTACTGAAGGTGAAATTAAATGGCAGGACCCCAATCCACCTAACAGCTTGCTACCACTGAAGGACAGGCCGGCGAGAGGGGGGGGGAAGGGAATCCTAGTCAGGATTTGCGAAAAGGAGAACGTGGGTTACTTGCTCCCTCCTGCACAGGAGGAGCCACTCGATCCCACACCAAACCCATACATGAGAAACTATTAGAAAATTAACTATTAGAAAAGTAATCCTTCCCTCTCTCCCCAAACCAGGAGAAAGTCTTCAAAAAACGGCAGCCTGATGAAAACAGCAGGGGCAGAAAGGGACAACTAGGAGAGGAAGCAGTTAAGTAGGATTAGAGCTGTCCCGTTCAGGGCCAAGGAGCGACAGCAGCTTTGTCCTTCACATTCCTCCTTTCTAGGCCGCTGACATCTGGATTCTTACATGAACAAACAAAACAGAGGCTTTCCAGGGTGGAGAATGAAGAGGCAGGTGCAGGCACTTCGTCTGGGATCAGTGCTTCACCTTTTTTTTTTTTTAAGCTATCCTAAAGATTTTTAGCCCCAGGCTCTGTGGAACCAACAGAATAGCAGTTTTGGCTGCTTCAAATGCAGTTTTACAGGATCTGCTCGCTGAAGTCCCAGAAGAATCTTAAATGGAGACAACGGCAACAAGACAATGCATTAAAGCCATTCAAAAAGGCAATTCAGGTACTTTTTCTCCACCAGAACTTCCTAGATACTGAATTTTCAGCAAGATTTTGTGGACTCATCCACTAGCTAAAGAAGGTACCAGGACGGAAAGCCCCAGGCTGCCTTTCTGAGGCACAGTAAGTGTCTCTGCAGCCACTTCGCGTCAAAATTCCCGACCGAAAGAGAAATCCTACCTCTGCCAGCTGCAAAAGCAAGCGGCTGTAAGCGTTAACACCCACCCTAATACATTTAAATACTGTTCTTTGGTGTCTATGGGTTTATGTCTTTGGTCTTCTGTGAGTTTCCTCAGTGATTTGGCGATGGTCTGTGGGCTGGTTAGCAGGGAATTCATTTTCAGGGGAAAAAAAAAAAAATTCCCTTTTAATAGCAAGGTTCTTTCTTTGTGAGAGGAGCTTTTGTTTCTCTGTAAGCCACTGTACATGATGGTCAGCAGAGGGAACACGCGTGACACTGCAAGTTTGAGAACGTTTGGGCTCCGCTTCCCACGTTTAACTCAATCGTTTCGCAACTATTATTGTGGAAACGGGGGGAAAAAAAAAAGGCTACGCAGACAAAAACGTGGTTTGTTGGTTTTTTTTTTTTCCCTAGCCCTAGCCTAGCTCACGTAACACGTTCCAGCTCTCTGTAGGCCGACGTTCAGGCTAGAATGTTCCCTAGAAGCCAGCCCGACCTTCCCGGTTTACGGTAAACGACGAGCGGCGGTGGCGCTTCCCCCTCCCGTTGGTACCGAGGCAAAAGGCCGGAGAGCAAAGATGTTCCCCGATCGGTTACGTACCACCCAAACGCGCGTTGAAACCACAGAGCTCCGCACCTCAGGGTGAGCTGGTCCGTCCCGGGACTCACCCCGCCCGCTCCCGGTTAACGGAGCCGCGGCGGAAAAGCGCAACGAACAGCGAGACGCCGCCACCCCGGAGGCCCGGAAGACCACAGCGGGACCCTTCTGGGGGCAGCCCCGGCCCCGCCGGAG